ATACAACGTTACATTTTACGTCTGTTTTCTCTTATTAACACTGCAACTCCTCTTCCGAACCTATCATCACCATTGTTATATAAAATCTTCCCATTCCATTTTTTCCTTATTTCACTTATATGCACTTCTTTCCAATTAGTTCCTTGTAACACAATCACATCTTCATTTTTACACATCTTAACATTTTCAAATGGTCTTATATCCACTAACCCTCTAGCATTAAAAGTAACCATTCTTAACACCATAACACAAAAAACAATTGTTAAAAAGACATTCATAAAATCAATTTTTTCATCCCATCTCCTTCAAGTCCTTTACCAACTCATTTCTATCCATATTTTGTTGCACACTTTTTTTAGTCACTTTTTTTAGCTACTTCCATGTTCGGTATTACCTTTATCGATCTTCTCCTTTTGCTTGGTTTCGCTGTATTGTCCTCTTCCCCTTTTTCCGCTTCTTTTCCCATTTCCATGTTCTGTACTTTGTCTTTTTGTTCTGCTCTGTATAATTCACTTTCCAGGCTTACAGTCATGTCCCTCTGTGTCCAGTTTTCCTCCTCTTGTTGTGTTTGTTCCCCCTGTTTATTCCTTTCGTCCATCCGTTCATTACTGCCTTTATTTTCTGTAGTTTGGCTCAGCACCATTCCTCCGATTTCTCCTTCTTGTTCCTTTTCTGTGTCTCTTTCATGCACCTGCCCACTCACCTGCTCCTCTTCTTCCTCCTCTCCCTCCATCCAGCATTCGCATTTGTTTAGGACCTCTCGGCAATCCGGGCACTTAACCGCGTTGCAGTCCCTTGCGAAGTGGCCCCTCTCCTCACATTTGTAGCACCTGAAATCTGGACAGTCTTTTACCACATGGTCTGGGCTCATGCACTGCCAACAGGTTTTCACCTGGTGACTGTGCATCACCCGGAAATATTGTGGCCCCTCAGCTGTCTCCATTTTTGTGCTATATGGTAATGAGGCCAGCTCTCTCGGCAACCTCGCTTTTATAAAGCGTGTGCCATCCTCAACGTTAGTGCCCAGATACACCCTCCTTTTGATTGTGGATAAGGGAATTACTCCCCACTGTTCCAGTTTATTTAAAATGTCCTCATCTTCAATGTAAGCAGGCAGGTGCATGAAAGAAACAACATAGTCCCTGTTATGCAGTCTTTTAACCTCAAAAGTCATACCTTTAATGTCCAGTCCATTCATTAAAATTTCTGTGTCCTCCTCCCGTTGAAGAGTAGTTTCATAACCGTTTATTTGTTTTGGTCTCACCGCTAAAATCTTTCCTTCCCCGATCTTCTCTGTCACAGCTTTTATAATATCCAATGCTCTCACTTCTTTTTCGTCTCGTAAATCCACTGTTATCGTTGCGTCCTTTTTGTACACTCTTTTCATGTTCTCCTTTCTTTCTTCTTTCCTCTGTCCATGCCCATCTCTTTGTTGTTTGTCCGGTCCGTGGTCTTTTCGCCGTCATGATTCTCCTGCCATTTCCAAATCCGTTAACGTATGTCCGTCCATCATAAACAAAAAGCAACGCAGACTAAGTTTTAAGGTCCTCTCAAACAGCATGCGCTGCTGGGAGGATTAACTAAAACAAACAAAACCCAAAAACACTAACAAATAAACACTGATTCTAACATAAAACAAACAAAAGAACAAAGGCTGCATTCGAAACCGCATACTCAATGAGTAGGTACTTAATTTCAATAAGTACTTACTTAACGAGCGCTAAAAGAGTATGTACTCAACAGCCAAATCTAGTTAAGTATGAACGCAATCCGCCATGTTGACGTAATCTTCTTCTTCTTTTAATTTTTATGGCAGTTTACAATCATGATTTATCAGATGTATACCGCCACCTATCGTACCACAGTACATAGCATGGATCGTGGTCCCATAATGTTGATGTTAACATGTGACCTCCGACGTTATAACAAGTTCAATAATTACTTGAGGTGACAGGTGTGCACTCCACCACCTGATCACAACAGTAAATTGCTTACCCAGCCTAGTGGGGTTTTCCTTAGCGTTTGGAATGGTATTACAAAGGAGACGTCGGGCAGCTGCTCGCAGATCTCGCCTTAGGAGAACACTGTTGATGTTATACTTAAAAAATGTAAGTGTCACCACTTATAAATTAAGATTACACCAGAATGAATTGCATTGCTAGCTCACCCCAACACTTTCGCACAATGATAATAACAGATGCAGACCCATTCTTAATTGTACTACATATTACTGAAAATTGTATAATTTCATTAAAAAAGCCTAATTAATTGTTTTCATATGACATGCATGAAAACACATAAGACAAATGGAGCCGATGTGAACATCAATTTTCAGTCAAGCAATGAATTAATGCATGAAGTAATGAAACAATTGCTTTATTTACAGACATTAATTCACTAATTTTTATTGTTTCCTAATTAACCATCATATTAACTGTATACATATACAAGTCAACAACACATGAAACAAATCTTTATTTGAGTTTAATGTTCTAATAAACTCGCACATATTTACAGGCAGTGAACCATCTTTGCCTGTCTTTACCATCCATCAGGTCCCTCATTGCAGCAGTCAGATTGGAATCTGACCATGGGTGGGAAAAGGACATTGAAGTCCTCGTATTCCTCCACTGGCTTGCACATGCAGCATCCTACAGGGTGGTGTCACAGACCTTTGATATGCCCATATCCTCTGTTCATGGAATTGTGCACAAAATGAGCAAGGCAGTCATAGGAATTTTGAGGAGAGTGATTTCTTTTCCAACCGGGGATGACCTGGAGGCAAGTGGGAGCAGGATTTGCATAGCTAGCTGCGTCACCAGCTTTCAGTCGAGCAGTCGGTGCAATAGACGGCCAAAATCAGCTTTTATGTTCAGAAATAAAACTAGAGGGATGGAACACCATGAAGTGAAGTAAATAATGAGTTTATAGCGTATGTTTGGGTGACCTTTAATCACTGTTACTATGTGTAGTTAATGCAAGTGAAGGTGGTTTGTGCAAACAGTCTCAACATAGGTTATGAAGGGCGATTGTCCAGAAGAGTTAATTTCATTCCCTTGTGTGTGTGTGTGTGTGTGTGTGTGTGTGAGAAATTAATTAAACATTTCAAACATATGTTTGTTCTAAACAAAAATCCATGTTTAAATATACATATACATTATTTATTTGCAATACATTCAAGGAGGCGAAGTAATCGTTCCTCCCTTTGACTTGCTTCCTGGTGCCACCTTTCTTCTCTTTCTCTGTCCTCAGCATGTCGTCTCTCCTCCCGCTCTTGTCTGTCTCGTTCTCGTCTCTCCTCCTTCTCCTCCATTTCTCTCCATCTTTTCTCCTCCCTTTCGACTGCTTCCTGCTCTCTTGCCATTTCCCTCTCCTCCATCTCCTTGATCAGATTCTCAATTGATTTCTGGGTTCTTTTCCTTGATGCCCTTGGTGTGTCTGGGGCTGGGCTCACTGAGGATGTAGAGGCCACAGCAACATCCGGGCCAGATGAGGCAATAAGGGCAGGTGGAACGATGGAGGGTCTGCACCCAATTGCCTCATCCATGGCCCTGTACCACTTCCAAGATGCTGCTGTGGGCTCTCCATCCTCAGTGCTCACACCGGTTGCTGGACATTTGAGATCCTACAAAAATGCACAAACAAAACATAAGCTGTCATTTTAACAGCACAATTTCAACTGATTTCTGTATTAGAAATAACAACATGATCTTACTTTATATTTTTGTTTGAGGTTTTCCCTTTTTTTTTTTTTTACAAAGGCCGCCATCACCGTCTTGCAGGCCCTGCTCCATCACAAAAGCTCTGCACACAAATCAAGAATCAGAAAAGTGCTGTAATATCTGTTTGAAATAACATTCATTAACAGCATATGACATCAGTTTTCATTGGTTTCTGTAGTATACTCACTCAAAGCCTTTGAAAGTTTTCGTCTGCCTTGGGAAAGCTAGCGTGTCTCCGACATAGTGATAACACACGTTGCTTTTTCTAGTGCAGCTCTACCAGGTCTTGTCCCATTCATCGGTATTTGTCGGTAATCACATGACTTCCTGTTTGTTGCTGCCATGTGTTTTGAGTTTGAGCTCCGTCAAGTTAATTCTTTATCGTCTATTTTTTTATCTTAAAATCAATTTTGCACCCAGGACGTGATCTTCCCAGATGTCCTTCACTCCGGCGCCGGGACACCACGGACCCTGGGTGCACCCGCAGCGGAAGCCGCGAGCCAGGCCCCGGGCGACGAGCTCTCCACCTCCGCCGCCTCCGGTCTTCGAGATCTCCACCCGGAACCGCCTCGCTCCCCTCAGCGAGACGGAACGTGACGCTGTGATCATCGGAGGCTCCATCGTCCGGCACGTCCGTGCTATGTTAGCTGAAGGTAAAGTGCACACTCACTGTTTCCCTGGTGCTCGTGTTCTCGATGTTACTCCAATCAGTCAGAGGATGCATTTTAAGCAAAGAGACAAGATCAGTTCAGCAGACTGAGACGACACTAATAAAGCAAGTACAATTGTGTCAATTTTTTGGCTATTCCTTTTTTGAACCTGAAATGCTTCTAATTAAAAGCCCAGACTTAATATTGAAGACACATGTTACTTACTTAGCAGTGTTTATTAAAGCAAGCATCGCTATTACTATATTGCTCATACAACAGGTTTGTAATGTTCCAAAATCCCTAACTTAAGTTTTACTTTTACCCTGCAGAATTTGACTAGAAAACAATTTGTGACGCTGTGAACGTCAGAGACTCCATCGTCCGGCACGTCCGTGCTACGTTAGCTGAAGGTAATGTACACACTCACTGTTTACCTGGTGCTTGTGTTCTTGATGTTTCTGCGCAGATAACCCGCGATCCTGAAGGGCGACGAGAGCATCTGAGCGGTCGTGCTGCACACGGGGGTTAACGACACCAAGCTGCGGCAGGCGGAGACACTGAAGAGGGACTTCAGAAGCCTGATCGAGACGGTGCGCTGCACATCGCCCGCGACGACAATCATCGTGTCGGGACCGCTTCCCACGTATCGACGAGGACACGAAATGTTCAGTAGCTAGACAAGAGGTTAAAGTAGAGCATAAAGTGTCAGTTGCTGCATTCACATCCAGAGATGAGAAATGGGTGGGTGAGGGAAGAGAGGAGGATACAACGGAGGAAAGATGGGAGGGGGAAAGGGAGCGTAGGTTTCGTCTAAAAGTAACCGGTATAGGGGTTGGTGGCACACAGGTAGCAAAATGTAATTTAAATGTAATGAAGAAATGATCAGAGATATGTAGGGGTTTTACCAGAATGTTGTCTGCAATACAATTGCGTGATCTTAAATGTAGATTAAAGACACATCTCTTTGGCCAAGCATTCAAATAATGTCCTGAACTAGTTAATTACAGACCGATCTCGAATCTCCCTTTTCTGTGAGGCAGTTGCTGATGTGTTTTATCCAATAACATTTTCGGTAACACTTTACTTGAAGGGGTGTGCATAAGACTGACATGACACCTTCATAATCATGACACGACACACGTCATGAATATGAAGGAGGTTTTATGCATGTTTATGACAACTGTCATTAAGTGTCATTCGCTCAGTTATGTCATTTTTAAAGCAAAGATGACACTGTTTGAGATGCCTTTATGACAACTGGGCATAAACCAATACATCATAACCTGTCAGTGTCTTTGTCATGACAACTTAACATTACCAAGACAACATAACCTGTCGTGACAACTTGACATTACTTAGACAACATAACCTGTCGTGACAACTTGACATTACTTAGACAACATAACCCGTCATAAATTTGTCATAAACATGACATAGCAGATTAATGATCAAACTTAAGAAATTACTTAGCTTTATGGGTTAACATTACATTAAACAGTCATGTGGTTGGTTTTGATATTGGCTGTCATGAGGCCATTATAATTGTGTCATGAATATTTTTCTGACCACTTTTATTCAGTGGTACAAATTGAATTTGTCATTAAAATGTCATTAAGTGTTAATACTCTGTCAAATTATTTTATAACAGCGTCATGAATACTTTTCTTGACCTCAACTACAGTGGTACAAATTTAATTTGTCATTAAAATGTCGTTAAGTGTTAATACTAGGTCACATTATTTTATAACAACGTCATGAATATTTTTAATTTCATAATGTTTTCAAAGTTTCCTCCAACAGAAGGTCTGATAATAGACAATTTCAAATGTCGTAAAAAAGATGAACAGGTCTTAGACAAATAAAATCAATCATCCAATAATAATAATAATAATAATAATAATTGATAAAATTATATTTTATTGCATTTGAAAAGCGATTCACCCAAAATTAGATGAAAACAGTACAATGGTGGGTTAAGCCATGCAGCGTTTGGTCCATATCACTGCAAAAACAGTTAATTACAGCATTCAGCACATTTATATTTTCTTGACATGCTTTTTTACGTCATGGAGAAGTCTACCTAAGACACCATTATAATGGCCTATACCTAACAAGTGGTGCCACTCTATCATTTTGAGGTGAGTTTTCAATGACTCGGGAGTACGATTTCCTCTATGACGCCATATTTCCAACTTGTAATTCTGCCATGCACGCTCAATATGCTGAGTATGAGCACCAGTCCCTGGATCAACAAAGTGTCTTTTATGGCAGACAGAATACTGTCGATATCCATACTGGGAAAGCTGTCTCTTGTAGGCACGCCATTCATCTGTAAGGATTGATGTTCTGGGTCTGATATGTCGTTGAATTTGGCTTATAAGTGTTTGCCTTGAGCGATCCTTGACGAGTCTCAGAATGGGTCTTCTGGAAATACCATCAACCTCTAGCATCCCGAAGACCCACTGGCGTTCACGACGCCAAGTGTTGCCACATCGGCCACGATGGTACTAAAAAAAAATAAAACAAGATAAATTATTTAATAAGGGTTGCGCTGTATTTTTTTTTCAATCATTGGAATCCAGTCCTTTTGGACAGTTAATAGACTGATCCTTCTTATCTGGCTTGATAACAAATAATTGCCCAACAGGTGCAAAATGCATTTTTATCTCTTAAATTTTTCCATTTTCATAATTTAATTTCCTTACAACAAACTATTGTTTCACTTTCATATTTTCCTGTACAAAAGCTGTCATATAGTACAACATAAACAAAATTTTAGATTGTATTGCTTTTTAATAGAACATAGATTAGCGGAATGCCATCCTACCTTGATTGTAATATATTTTGTTCACAGACTTATTGTCTGATTATAAATGAAGGGTATATTTATGTCTTAATATATTGTATGTTTTCAAATTGAACAAACATTTTTTTTTTCCTTTTACCATTCATCCCATGTTTAAACACTGCCATTAAATTTCTCCCAATATTAACACTTTGCTATCTCTAAGCATTCAATGTGCCTCATTTATAGTAGTATGTCATGCTTGTGAAATTAAGATCATACTGTTTGTGATGTTGTTGTGGCTCATTTAGTGTACAATACCATCTTCTTTATAATACACATTTTTGCATTGCAATCTCAACACAGAAGACTAATGAGTTTTGTCTTATAAGGACATACACAGCAGCCATATTACCATATAAATATCAGACTTGGCACCTGTTTTAAGGCCTTCTCGCTCTCTAACCCAGCGCTGGAAAGCTTTTCCAATATTAACGCGGGTCTTATTACTTGTCTGATCGTAACACTTCATTTTCAAGTTTTTCTCTTTTGTATTTTCTCCATCATCTCTCTTTCCATAATCTCAGACTGGCACTGCACTAACATGACAAAACTGATACATGTGAAGTAAAGTTATAGTAGACTTGCATACAAATAAGCAGCCTACTTTTCGTTTGTGGGCAAACTTGCTCTCGTCGATAACAACAAATCGATGTCGACCACCAATTCTCATTCCTCTGTTCCTCAGTGTCTTGAGGGCAGCAATGCACACCTTCAAATATAGAAATAACACATCACAAGTTGACTTGTAACAATGTTGTAGTATGGAATTTTATAAAGTTGAGTGCACCAAATAAGTATGTAGCAATGCTGAATCCAGTTGTCTACAGTGGGTTTTGACTTATAAAACTTTGAAATCTAATTTTTTACTTATTGATTACAGACAACTAATAATTAATGCAACAACCTTTCTGAGTACTTTTGTCATTCTTGCCAGTGTCTTTGAGCTTCCTGCTATACCCTCAGTGATCATGGCCATTTCACCAAAGGGGTGTGAGAACTGGTGAATATTGAGCCATTGCACACAGAAAGTGGGGAACTTCTGTGATGCTTACAGACCCTGCAGGATAGAGCCACTATGAACTTTTCCTTCCTATCTCATCACAGCACACAGAGCAAACGTGTAGCTAAGTTTAATTTTAAGTGCAAACTCACTGAAGGGCATGCAGCAAAAAGCTGTCATTGTGGAGCCACTGGTCATTACCGATTTAATGGTGCAGAGATGGAGTTAAGACCACTTCTTCTTTCAAATTTAAGTTGCCAATCTCATAAATATATTATGAAATTACTCTTTAGTAGCTCTCTGATTAGATTAATTTGAGAGGGGTGATATAGCTATGGTCTTAAACCGCGATAAAAGGAATTTTGAATCACAGTAATGATACACATACGACGATAATGCTATGTGAAATAATATTTGTCTCTCTAACTAAAAGTTAAGAGTCTAAGAGTCTCTTTCTCATTTACTGTATTAATAACTCTCTCAACATCGACTACATCCTGTTCTGTGTTTCCATACACATCCAAGTTCTCGCTGTTGCTCCTCGATGTCAGTAACTTCATGTAGTCATGTTTATTAAATGCAGTAAATAAATTATTAATCACATTAGTACAGAAGGGTCAAAACCGTCTGTCACATATTAACATATATTGCAATGTAAATGTAAAGCATTAATAATATATTATAGACATTTTCATAGACACTTTGTGACTTGTGTAAAGCAGCTTTGAAACAATTTGTATTGTGAAAAGTGCTATACAAATAAAATTGATTTGATTTGATTATATCCAATGGCAAGCACTTCCAATAGCTCTCTGCTCTGGTTTCAAAAACAAGACTTTACAGAACGTTTTCACTTTACAGAACTTTAATAATCAACTACAATAAGAGCATTATAGAAGTTATCTGTAATAAAACAGAGCCTGTTATCTGTGTTCTTCTGTGAGACAGTTCTCTGCTTTCAGATAGTACCCAGAATTGGGCCTACATTGAGAAAGGTAGCTTATTAGGTTTTGGGGCTTTGTTTACATACATACATATTTCTGCTTGTCCACCTGCCCCATTCCCCTTTTCTCACTGCTCACATTCCTTCTTCATCTTCACCTTCAACGTCTCCATCCCCCTCCTCTTCATCCTCAGACGCCAGCTCCTCATCATCCTCAGAAGAGGAGCAGAAAAAGAAGAAAAAGTAAAAAAAATACACTGACTCACACAGCCTTTCAAGAAGTAAGCACAGGCATCGATTCTCTTCATAATGAGATGGTTTCTTAAATTAAAGTTGCCCATTACTTAACTGTCTTTCATTTTTCATATTTGCATGAAAAGCAGCTGCTAACATGAACTTAGTTAAAGGGATAGTTTACCCCACAATGTATATGCTGTCATAATTTTCTCTTTCATGGCGTTCTAAACCTGTGTGACTTTCTTTTTTCTAGATATAAGATATTTTAAGAAATGTTGGTAACCAAAGAGTTTTGGTTGTCATTAACTTCCATATGGACTAAAAAAACAACACCACAGACATTTCTCAAAATGTCTTCTTTTGTGTTTCACAGAAAAAAGAAATTCATACAGATTTTGAATGAAATGAGGATGGGTAAATGAAAACACATTTTTTCATTTATATTGCATGTTTAATAAATAAACATATATTTAGCCTTTAAAGCAGACAAGAACAGACACTAATTTCCATGCTGATTCGGTGTGCATCCTCCACGCAGGCCAGTTGTGTTAGATATAGGCTGTCAGATATGAAAGGACACAGCTTACTGTGCTGGTTCTTGGTGCTTCTTCCTGTTGTTAAAAAAACAAACAAAAACAAAAAAATATTTTTCTGTTTGAAAAAATAGTCTGGCAATTGAGGAAAAACTCAAAGCCTGTCATGTCAAAAAATTAAAGCCTTTATTATGTAAACTGAAAGGAGAATGCACAGTGAACCAGCAGGGTAAGTATAATTTGCGATTACATACTGTATTTGTAACAATGACAGACAATTGACAGGAATTCCTAAAACTCACGCTCCGCCACCTCAAACACCTCACAGAAGACATGAGTTACTCACCATTTTACAGAAGCATCTCAGACATACCACTTCTCCCAGAAGCTCCGGGAGTCTCCCACATTTCGATAGCATGTCCCGGATGCCCAGAAATCACAGGGTGGGATGTCTGGCATCTTAAAGAACATTAGCTGAGATTAAACCTACATCTAATACTGCAAGGATAACACTATATGACTTCATAGTCAAATCGAAAAAGTCAAATCGAGAGAAAAATTGTCTCTGTGATATTTGTATTCATTAGGACAAGTGTGAATAATCATAATTAATTGTTTTGAAAGCCCTAGTTTATTTATTTGTTTGTGTTGGTTATTTTTTTGTTCAGTGACCACAATGGATGGAATCATCCGCCGCTACAAGAATGCCCTCAAGAGATTCACCAAGTCTGGATCCATGAAAAAAGCCTTCGCCAAAGTGAATGTTGACCGCAACACAATTGCAAGAACAGCTATAATTGCTGAGCTAGCAATCACATATCCAGACACATTTAAGGAGCTGCTCCCCACAGACGACGTAAATTAGAAGGTCTCTGAGTTTGCAGAGCGCTGCAGGAGGGCTATAACAAAAGAGATGGCTGAAACCATCACAGCAAAGAAAAAAAGTGGACAACCCCTCCCAATAATGCATAAGTACGCTTAATTGTTTTTTTCATGAAGAAGTTATCCTGTTGTTTTCCCTTCAAAACACTAAATATATGTGTTGAGATTATTTTGTAAACCTCTGTTTGAGGAAGCACTGGTAATTATTTTTTGTTAGTTTTTTCTTTTTCCTTATATGTCAGAAAATTTCAGAACCCTCTGTGTGAGGAAGAACAAGTTCTGTTCTTTTTATGTATTGTTCACATACATAAAGTTAAGTATAATCCTTTGACGTGTCTGTTGCATTTTGTTAAGGTATTTAATATGATTTGTTAATACTCTGTATTTAATGTTTTGACAGAGTAATACCACTTAACATTTAATGACAGAGTATTAACACTTATTAATACTTAATGACATTTTAATGACAAGTTCAACTTGTACCACTGTAGTTGAGGTCAAGAAAAGTATTCTGGAGCTCAGCAGTGGCTATAAATAAACACGTTTTTACAACAAAATCACAAATACACTATCATATCTGTGCCAACACCTTCAACAATTCAACAGTTTACTTTACAGTAGTTCAAAAAATGCAATTTTAACACAAGAAACCAAACTCAAAAGCTTACAGCACCTGGTATTCCCAGGCTGTCACCCATCCAAGTACTAACCAGGCCCGACCCTGCTTAGCTTCCGAGATCAGACGAGATTTTTTTTATTTATTTATTTTTTATTATAAAACTTTCAAAATATACAGTCATTTAAATTGCTTCATACAGTTAAACATCCCATAGCCAGTTTACACCATTTTCTTTCAATTCCAACATTGGATTCCCTCTTACAATCAATTCTATAAGATCATCCTCTTTGTTTTCCATTAAAAATAATTCCATAACAGTCTCACAGAGTATTCCATTCTGTTTTTAAAGATAATCCACACATCAACATTTTTCCCATCATATTTCACCATGTTTCTTCTCAACCATATTACATACTTCGCTATTGTTACACATAAATTAAAGGTATACATGTTATAGTTATTACAACCAAATAAAAACATTGTTTCCCACTTGTTTTGGTCCTCCTCATACTTCCCCTCCCAAACTGCTTTTGCAATATCCTTCATTTTTCTCATAAAATCATCACAATAAAAAAACAGATGTAACAGTCCTTCATTTTCTTTCATACACACTTTACATCATTTTGAATTCCAATTTTATGTAATCTCATCTCTGTTAACATACAATTGTGTCTCAAAAAATAATTACAATTCTCTAAAATTGGTTCCATATATTTCAATCTCACATTTCCACAAATTTCATTTTCATTGAAGTCATCATATCTTTCTTTCCAGTAGCTCAATGCTACTGGTTTCGTAAAAGCGATAGACCTAAAAACACTATACACATTCCTTACTTTGCATAAATTAAAATGCCCATTTGACCTTTTAAAAAATACATCTGGTAATTAATTCTTCTCCCCACTCTCATAGTTTTCAATTCTTTCAATCCAGTCCTTTGGTATTGCTTTCTTTAAAGGGATAGTTCACCCAAAAATTAAAATGTGATGTTTATCTGCTTACCCCCAGGGCATCCAAGATGTAGGTGACTTTGTTTCTTCAGTAGAACACATTTGATGATTTTTAA